ACAATGTCCAAAAACATAATACTTGAAGCTTATTATTATTATTATTATTATTATTATTATTGCTAGTGGGGTGGGACTAAGTCCCTTTTACTGCGGCCACTTCTGGCCTATTGTACCACCCCCAGATGGTAGGTGAGGGTGATTGTGGAGCAATTGGTGGAATGAAGATTGGCAGGGGAAACCGAAGTACTCTGAGAAAACCTGCCCCAGTGCCACTTTGTCCACCACAAATCCCACATGACCAGACCTGGGATCGAACTCGGGCTGCCACGGTGGGAAGCCAGCGACTAACCACTTGAGCTACAGTGCGGCCTCCTACTTGAAGCTTACTATATGGCTAGAAATATATGTTACATTAAAATTTTGCCATCTGCTACTTGACAATGTTTCAATTCTCCTTCAGTGCAGCTGGGTCTGTCTCTAAATACTTAAGTCAAAGTTTTACCTATTTAAGGTTCTTCTCACTCTGTACATGAAATGATTGCCTAATTGGGAGAGGATGTCTCTCCAACTATCAGTCCATGTTTCATCTATAAAATTGGTGTCCAGGACTGGGTGAAATCTGTTATGGAGTGTCAGTACTAAAGTCTGTGAGGAAAATTTTATTTTGATATGTACCAGTCCTCGTTAACCATTACGGTGCTTTGAACAGAAATCCGACTTATATGAAATTGCTCAAAAAGGGCTCATTATATGAAATAAATATAATGTATGTCATTAATACCATTATTAGTTTCAATGCTCACCTTCTGCCACACTTCTCTTGCTTTTTCTTGTTACAGCTGTTGAAGCAGTCCTGTTGGATGTGCTTACAATGTTCTCACGATGGTTCAGATCTTCATCATCATCATCATCATCATCATCGTCATCATCATCATCATCATCATCATTGTCATCATAATTATCACCTTTGTCATCATCATCATCATCATCTTTGTCATCATCATCATCTTTGTCATCATCATCATCATCATCGCCATCATCTGTATCATCTTTTTCATCATCTTTGTTATTACTGTCATAATCATCATCAGAATGGTCTTCTACATCATTATGGGAGCCATTCTCTTGTTTTTTGTCCTTCTCATCATCTTCGAAAAACTTGAAGATTCCATCAGTCATAAATGTACTAATAGCATCAAAGAACCCTGGACTATCATCATCATCATCATCTGTACTAGCACTCAATCCCTCACCACTTGCACCAGCCATATCTTTCCTATCTGCAACAGAAATCACAAAAATGTATCTATATATACATATATGCAGAGTCAATATGGAGGCATAACTTGAGTAGTGCATAACAAATTACATATCATTATAAATGCTGAATATTTCATTACCATGTTATTGATGCAATAACAGGAACACTGAACACAATAAAAGAATTTCCCCATTGGTATGCTCTGACTGCTGCATTCAGTTAATATAGTGATTGACTGCTCTCAAATTGAAGGTTGAAATATTGTACTTTTTGGACAATGGATGTAGTATATCTACAAATGTGTTATGATAATTTTAGGAAACACCATTTAAGTTAAATAAAAAAAAACAGGATATCAGTGGCTTATGTTCAGGCACAGAAATTTTGAAGTTGATGGAGAATTTAACATTTTTTCTTGTACCGTAGTTTATGTCACACTCACAAGGTAGCCTTCACAATACAATACCAATTTGGAACTTTTGTGTCCTTTAAAAATATTTATCTCACTGAAATATTGATACTTGTAGTTGTGTTCAAAACTTTGGTTGCTATCTTTGACAAATTAATGACCTGCAGGATTTGTCAGATTAATTTCTAATTGGTTAAAATTTGTTAACATTTTCATTGAAATTAAATTTGTCTGTAATAATCATAAAAGGGCTTATTGTAAAAGAATGTACATAATACTAATGTATGCCAAACAGTTCTGTTTTAAGTATGAGAATCAAATGCAGAAATTGCTTGCTTCTATTTTTAATATGATATTCTACTGTTCTTTATCACAGACCTCCATATTTTCTGACATCCATATCACAGGCTATTTTGACTTCCAATTTCCTTTCAATTCACAGTCCTTATGCATTCTCAATACATCTTTGAATGGGGTAACCTGGGCACCTAGATTTTAATAATAAAGAAAGACATCCATGAGAGAAGATCTGAAATATGTTCTTGTTATTTTTGCTATATTTTATTTTAACATGTTCATAAAAAAGGCACCCTAAAATAGATAAAATTTCATAAAGAATGCATACAAATCTAACTTATTCCCTTGCAGCAGTGTGAAGCTACTAGTCTGATTAATAATAAACACTATAATTTATAGCATATTTAAGCTCTTTAATTACCTGGTCTTACATTTTGAAAATTAGTGCATAGTTATAAGTATACACTTATAATCATTAGTATGTGTATGTAGAGAGGAGGTGTCTGAATGGCTCATAAGGTCAGTGTTATCTTCTTTTATGTATTTGCAGAGAGAATGTGACTGCAAATATCAAGCTTGTAAAATCTATATTAGTTATATTTATTTAGCTCCTTGCACTTTTCCCATTCCAAGAAGAAATGTGCCATTACAAAGATCTAATAAAAATAAGATTGAGGATAGTTCTGTAATACTTCTTAAAATAATTAACATTTGTAATATAATAAAAGACAGTATCTGGTTCACATTTGAAACCCCATTGCAGACATCAGTAGTTTAATTATACAATTACTTAATTTGAAGTCGTCTTTAATATATTCTTTCCAGAATTGCATGTTTTGTGAAGTCGGTGTCACTATAACATACCATTGTGTATGGAATAAAGCCCCATTTTATTTACACATTTATGTTTATAAAATGCAGTCTTTGATAATCTAGAAAGGAATATTGAAAGTATCTCTCTTCTATAAGAGTATTGTCATTGCAGGACAATTAAGATTTTTTAAAATTGTAGGATGTTGACAGAAATGGAAAATCAACTGCACAGATTATGTGTCTTTGAGGAAAATCATGAATATGCATACCATTTGTGTCTGTAGCGTGGTCTCTGACACATTTTGTTATATCATCTGATATTATACATCCAAGAGCACTCCAGAGCCCTGGTGTCTGGACCTTCTTTTCCTTGGTATATATGTTATTCTCAGAGTGGCAACTTTTTGCCACCATCAACAACATTACGGTGGCAGTGACTGCCAAACTTGAGAAGGGAGTCATGTTTCCTCACAGGTCTGCAATACAGGAAGAGCACATCGAATTGAACACAAGAAATGTAAAAATGCTTCCACATTTTTATGACCCACATGTCATTATTTACTTATATCTTCTTTGCTAGAGCAATAAAAAATTGCATTCCAGTAACATATCATAAGGCCGCGCCATAGCTCAAGTGGTTAGTCGCTGGCTTCGCACCATGGCGGCCCGGGTTCTATCCCGGCTCTGGTCAAGTGGGATTTGTGATGGACAAAGTGGCGCTGGGGCAGGTTTTCTCCAAGTACTTCGGTTTCCCCTGCCAGTCTTCATTCCACCAATTGCTCCAAAATCACCGTCACCTATCATCTAGGGCTGGTACAATAGGCCAGAAGTGGCTGCAGTACAAGGGACTTAGTCCCACCCCACTAGCAATAAAAAAAAATAATATGACTATATCTGACTTCTCACCATGTAGGACTACAAATTTGTTCTTATTATAAGAATGTAAAATTATTAAGTAAATCATATCAAATCACAGTCTTGACTAGCACTTTATGCCCACTTTACAAAGTTTATTACCAGATTTTGCATATGATTGGCTTTCTCCTGAACTTCATATTTTGTATGTTTCTGCTTTAATTTATCTACTCAACAACAATACTGTTAGTTAAAGTGCTAGGGTAATTACAACAACATTAGAAAGGGATTTACGCTGGATTGGGGTATGAAGAATTCCTAGATGTACCATTTGCAACTTTTCATTCCACATAAATATGATGTCCATTTATTCCAGAAAGAAATCTTTTGCAAACCGTAAGGACCCAAGGCAAAACTCAGCACATTCTGTCTCAGAATGAGGTGGAACTGAGTGTCACCTCCTCCCTTTGATGCATAACCTCCAGGGAAATATTGCCCTGGTGCTTATATAGGATAATGGGTGTGCTCTGGGGCTGGGATCCAAAACAAAACCCACAATTTGTAACCCTCAGCTTACTGCCAGGAAGGCCATTCTGTGGCTCTACTTCTGTGTGGTTGATACAGCTTATCAACAATATATTACACACAAGCATAATTCTGCATAGGAACATGATTTTCAATTTTATGTCATTAAGTGTTTATAATATGCAAATATATCTCAAATAAACCCCACAAATATTAATAATATATATAAATTACTCTATATATCTGCTTCTCTGTAGAGTGAGTTCTTTTTAAAAATAATTTCCACTTGAGCTTCATGTAAAGTGTGGATTATTTCAAATGGATACAGACCTACACATTAGTCTTAATGTTACTTTCAGTTTGTACATATATTTGATATCAGACTTAATCAGAATCTGAAGATGTTATGAATAGTGAAGATGACTTCCCGCTTTTCCTTCCTTTTATCTAATTCATTATTTGGCCCTAAGAGGGGTGAAATAGTAGGAGGTTGTAGAAAACTGTGTAATGAGAAGCTTCATGATCTGTACTCTTCACCAAATATAATTAGAATGATCAAGTCAAGAAGGATGATATGAACATGGCACGTAGCATGCATGGAGCAAGGAGGAATGCATACATGGTTGTGGTGGGAAGGCCAGAAGGACAGAGACTGCTAGGAGGACAGAGAGGCAGATAAAATGTATCTTAGAGAAACAGAATGGGGTGGTATGGATTGGATTGATCTGGTTCAGGACAGGGGCCAGTGGCAAGCTCTTGTGAACATGGTAATAAACCTTCACGTCCCATAAAATTTTGGGAAATTCTTGTGTAGCTGGGAAACTCATGGCTTCTCAAGAATAACTCATCTCCATGTAGTTAATTTGCAGTTAGCACAGATACCGCATACAGATACTGGCTAAGCTTCGGAATATGGTAATAGACACACTTGTGATATACTTCCTCTGAAACAGGGCCAATAACAGTTTAAATTCTATTGGGTTGTTTTGATGTTTTAATTTGGTGCAAAAAAATCACAATTTATTGTTAGTTTTGTTTTGGCAGTTTCATTACTGTTACAGATTATTAAATAAAGCTCCCTAATTAATTATTGTGATTTTTACTGCATTAAAGACCAGTAACGTCTTAAGTGTACTTCTAACGGCATTCTGAAAGTGTTCTAAATAAAGCTGAGTAAAATGATCTCTTTCATGCTCATGCCATCATAAATTATGTATAAATTCATGCTAATTGGTATATAGCACATTACTTTGGCGTTGCCGCACAATGTTAATCGCTCACCTAAGTGAAAATTGCAACTGGTCCATTCAGCTCTTCGAGCATAAATACCATAGAAAAATGTTAATTTTTCTCGCATTATCTCATCCATGTAGATCGAACATTTGCTGTTGAAAGTCATGGAAAGGGATTCTTAAAACAATTTTTAAGCCCAGGTGTATCTCTGTCTTTCAGTATGTTAGATAAAGAAACAAAGAAAAATTGCGATATTCCAAAGACACATGATTATCGCATGCGAGGATATGATGCATAATACAAAATAGATGTGTTATTTGTTAAAGAGTCTTCGCTGCACAGCGTGTAGTTAGGCAGTCAACGAAGAGTTTCCCCTACTGTCATATCAGAGAACTAAATGATACATGCTAATATCAGAGGGAGATCATCGTTGATAAGTCCATGGCTGTGTGTAGCGACTGCTTGTAGAAAGCGCCCTCAAGTTCTGCCTGTATTTGCAAGGACGGTAGTGTACCAACGGAAGCAGAAAGCGGGGTTCTGCTGATGTAGGATGAAACGATAAATGTCAGTGTCAGTGTTCTTACTTGTTGTGTTGTGCAGTGGTGCAGTACTTGTTTCGGATAAGCAGCTTAAAATTGGCATTACATTATGCAGCTTTATACCGGATCGAATTTGAGGTAAGATTTATTGCACTACAGTGAGTGTGTCAAATGTTACCCACATTAAGATGTTTTATTTAATCACCTATTTGACCAGCTTAGATACCTTGCGAACGGTTGGATAGTATAAGGTGTATAATTTAAAACGCGATCCAAGCCATAAGAGTTACAAAGATAATTCAATTTGCTGTGACAATTCTCGAAGATTTTCACGGTCATCTACCTGATGTATCTTCTTCGTTGCGGAGTCCACTGCCTGGTAAAACTGTTGACGCCGGACACGGTGCCTGCCGTAAACAGTGAAAGTGTCCCGAAATTTTGCCTGGAGTCAGTATATTGTCTTATTCAGTACTTCTCTGGCAGGACACGCATATGCACAGTATCAGACGATTCAATGCGAAGTAATGTTCGAGAATGAACATACATTTACCTCGTGAATCCATTCTGTTCACAACTGTACTACAAAACCTTGCGCAGCTGGCAACAGCAGCAACCTAGCATCCAGGGTGACGACTCGAGTGTCACAAGGAAATTTGGGAGAGTCCATTACCCAGAGGGAACAGCTTCTGATTCCATTTCCTTGCCGTTGTACGCTATTGTTGTTTGGGCTGCATTTTAAATGGTACACCATGTAACATTGTATATATGTTAGGCTTCTTGAAGTGGGATTGAATTTGGCATGTGTAAGATTATTGTATAAGTTGGGCTATAATACATGCGAGTAAAATGAAATTTGATTGGGTTCGGTGCAAGAATCCAAAAGCCGGCTCTTTGTTAAAAATCTCCGAATTGTTGTATCAAGGAAATTCGGGATAGGTTGTGATGGGCCATAAGTAGGGTCTTAAGATTTAGAATGTTGCTACTTGTCCTAAATTATGTTTTTTATTTTATATATATTAAACTATACTTTCAAATGTTACCATATTACTTATTATTTCATTCTCAACTCGTTAGATTAGGCTGACTAACTAGCCAACTAACCCCATGGAGCTGAGCCCTTCTTGAGAAGCCCCCAGTTGTGCAGTTTCTCAGAAATTTCCCAACAGTTTATGAAACCCATAGGCTCATTACCGTGTTCACAAGAGCCCTCCGCTGGTCCCTATCCTGGGCCACATCAATCCAGTGTATCTCGCTAAGATCCATTTTAATATTATCATATTAATATTTTGAATATTATCATAGGTCCTCCTAGTGTTCTCTTTCTTGTGGTTTTCCCACAAAATCCTATGATCATTCCTCTTTTTTTATTGCTATTTGGGTGGGACTAAGTCCCTTGTACTGCTTCCAATTCTGGCCTATTGTACCAGCCCCCGATGATAGGTGAGGGTAATTGTGGAGCAATTGGTGGAATGAAGATTGGCAGGGGAAACCGAAGTACTGGGAGAAAACCTGCCCCAGCGCCACTTGTCCACCACAAATCCAACTTGACCAGACTCGGGATAGAACCCGGGCCGCCGCGATGGGAAACCAGGCGACTAACCGCTTGAGCTATGGCGCGGCCTCTGCATTCCTCTTAGTCCCTAATCCGGTTACATGCCATGACCACCTCATACTCCTTAACTTGATCATTCTAATTTTACTTGGAGAAGAGTAGAAGTTATGAAGTTCCTGAATATGCAGTTTTCTCCAACCTCCTGTCACTTCAGTTAGATTAAGCTAGTTCCGGTAAAATTCGTTTACATGAAGGCTGTCATTCAAAAATCGAAACTTATCGAAATATTTAGATGTTATTCATGGAACGAAAATTTTATGAACCTGTGCAACAACAATAATATATCGAACAGTCTTGTCTAAACGAAACTCTCCAGGTTCGTGTTCGGGAAGTGCTCCATCCGAACTGTCGCTGGAAACCCGGCTCAATTTGACTGAGTTTTTTCGTGGTTTACTGCAATCCAACATGCAGTTGCTAGATACGTCGATTAGTCCAGGGCCACTTCCTACCAAATTCTTTCTAATTCGTCCAGTATCCTACCATCAGACTCTCTATGCTCTCGATACTGAAAGTGTCAATGTAGAGCGTATTAAGTCTAACGCTTATTGGAAATGCTCATGGTGTACTTGAAGTGTTTTACTTGCTGACACTGGGGCTCGTGCCATAGGCTGTGAACTGTTGCTCTAATTTTTCCCCAAGTTTCGATCGTAAACTCTGTCACACATAATGCATGTCCGTGACGTGAGGTGGCAGTAAGG